CAATCCGAAGGAGAATCACTCTTGCCAACAGGTACTACTTTGGACTGAGTACAAACATAGACCAAAGTCTACAAGTCCCTCATCAATCTCGTTCTATTATATAGTGCGGAAGCAAAGACAATGCCGTCTTCTGATGAGTGGGCTTTATGAATGTTCGAGACAAAGATTTGGCAACGGTGGGTACCGCAGGTGATATAGCAAAGAGCTGTACGATATGTACACCGAAGTGGACATAGTTTAGCGAATCAAGAGAGCGCAGCCGCCGTGCTGGCTAAGTCATGTTCTCCGGATTGAAATAATAATACTCCAGTTTTGAATGTTTTCGATTCAGTGTCGATGGAAGCAAAGAAAGAGGAAGAGCGCCACTTCTTTGAAGAGATCAGGAATCGATGTTACCCACTCTTTACACTTTACACATCAATACATGATGGTCTTTTGACCAATATATTTATATTTGCATAGAACCGATGTACTAACTGTGCACGTGACCATCACAGCCATTATTTGATATATTCAATATAATTCATTATATTTGTATTTCTACTCAATCTTCTTGACATATTATATTTTATGAACATTTTTACACCACACGAGCAATTACTCAGAATTATGCGGTATCAGTTATGCAACACAGTAATACATATGTATTTATTTAACAGCAGCAAATGTTCGGCTCGTAAAATCCTCGCTTAATAATGCAAACGAATTGAATTGCATTAATGTTTATTAAACAAATTCGTGCGCCTTTACATTCGCTTCAACCACACCTACATACTGTTATACTCGTACACCCATATATAGATATGCGCAGAATTCAACGCATTGCAGAAGAAACCACTTAAGACTCGATATTACTTTGAATAAAACATGCAGCAATTCAAGTCGCCCTTTTATCTTTCCTTTCCGATAAACTGCAAATATTGACGCTACTTTGTTGACATTTGGCGACACCAACAGCAATGCGCGGCAGCTATGCGCGTGTGTTTGTTCGATGGCTTGTATGTCATTGTCATGTTTTCGGCGTCAATAAAAAGTCAAGTCATAAAACCTTGATTAGCACTTGCGTTGCCTTTTATGATCCGCCGAGCTTGAACTCGGCGACGCCGTAGAATCACGGACGCACATACACACACATACACATACATGCAAACAGGCATTTAAATTGTTTGACGACCGACTGTAAGCCATGCTCTGTGCTTGACAATTGTACATATGTATTTATGTAGATGACCTAAAATATAGGGCAGATGAGGGAAGCTGGCGCTTGTAAGTGCCGTATGGCGCGCACCATCCAACAGAATTTCACTCAATTTGTTCACTTTGCACGACATTACACTGCACTTTTATGCCGCCACAATTACTACAGCATCAATGACGCGTAGTCGGGCAATTTCTCATTGCCTCGGAAGCAGCACACACACTGAAACACCCACGCGAACTCAGCAAAGCCGACCGACCTCCGTGCTGCCATGTCTCCTTGTCTTCATGCCGTAGCAGTTCACTTCGTATTTGCTCAAGCACACCGCCCCATCCAAGGAAATGCCATCAATGCCGGCTCGTCGGTTTGTCGGCGTCGTTATCGCTTACGGAGTCACCCATCATCCGCACGGTGCTTCGCTTTTGATGTCGCTGAAGGAGCCCATGACGTTAACGTCTGCTCCTTTCTGTCATCGTAAAATTCGTTTGTTCGTTTGCCTTTGCTCATATCGAATGCAATTTTCCAATCGCTGATTCGTGCTTTCGATATGACAATTCCAAGTGCAATTTGTGGTGTTCATTTGTGTGAGTGCCATGGCAGTTGACATAAGGATAATGTTTTTGGCATGGTATATAGGTATGTATGTCTATTCTTTAATCTTTATTGCCTCTCAATAGGAATTCAAATGATTTGTACTTTTTAATAAAGTTAATAGCTACGGTAGCCAACACTGAAGCTAGGAATCCTATAAAGAATACCTCGAAATATTTTATTTATCAAAGCTGCTAGAATTCAGAGCAAACTTTTTTGTTATACATAGTTTTTTACGGTAGTCTTCAACTATAGCCTCTGCACAACATAACACCTTGTAATATAGACCTTTCAGAAACACAAACTTATGTTTAAGAGGTTGTCAGGTCAGCATTGTAAAGACTATTTCGATAAGCCGTATCCTAATGAATTAGCGAAGAGTTGTTTTTTGTATAATTTTCTGCTCCTAACAATCTTATAGGCCATTCCGCTTCCGTTTATTTATTCGAAAAATCTTCATGCTTTAAAGAACACTTCAATCAAGCGTTTCCAAATGATTTCCATATGAGGAGTGGCATTCAGTGAGGTTATGCTGTCTCCTAGAATATGCAAACGGGGACTATGGTAGTGTTTTTCTTGCCATGATGACTCAACCTTAAAATAATATTCTGTATCCTGAACAATTACGCTATTTTCGCCTGTCTCTCCAGAGAGCCAGACTCCTTTAATATTTTCATATTGTTGCTGTTCTGATTTATAATCTGGATCCAGCATTGTAGGAGAAAGTAGGTTCGCTTGCGCCTAGCCTCTCCCAAGACTATCTTGTTACAGAGGGCAGGGCAGACACCCTTAAACACAATTCGAGGTAAAGATATTTCCGGGCCCCAAGCCAAGTCGATCATCGACACATCACTTGTCACATTTACTCAATTTACAGTTGACATCTCTTAGAGCCAGGCTTAACTTCCTTTTCCTTCCTTTTTTTAAAGTCAGTCCTCGCGCCTAGACCAAGATTATATCCTTTCTTAGCGCTGGCTGTTTTCGATCTTATAACAAATGTTGTCTCTTCTCAGAAGAAGCGAAGAAGCAGTTTCTTATGGAGAGCCGAACTTCTTTAATATTTTAATATTGTTGCTGTTTGCAAGTAAGAAGTATGATAGCAGAAATGTGAAGCTATCTTATTTGCGTATAGAGACAAGTATCCCAGAGGTCCTTTCGAGACTACATTTTTCAAAGGCCACAAGTAGATCGTCGGCACGAGCCGCACGACATCTTGGTCATGCCCATTTTGTATCTCCAATCATAGTAAGACTTTCCATTTGAATAGCAGTGCGATTGATTTATTAGCAACGAGCGCCCAAAAATCGGAGTCAGACCTTAGCTAGATACATCTCAATTGCAGCAGAAGCGAACTTTTAGCAGTCCATCACTGTCATCATCGTGATACTGTGGTATCTATTTCCATTCCATACCCTAGACGAGGGTTCAGCGGAGAATTTTTGCCAAACATTTTTGTAATAAGTTACAACCTCCCAACTATTCATTGCTGCTTCCAGGAAGAATACATCCATCGTCTTGTTGAATGCTTTCACCTCAATATTCCGTCTTTACATTAATAATATTGTATTGGCTGAATATCATCATAGATTAATAATGATATGTCCAGCGATACAGCTAAAGATTACCGATAGCCGGTGATAATACACCGCTAAAGATACCTCTTGCTTGTAGGACTTCCTAAATTTATTATCCAACCACAAAACAGTACATATTAGAATTTGTTTGAGTTTTTTGAAATCTATTTTTAAAAAAAATCATCTTCTGGAGTACTGTGGAGTTTCGCAAGAGATATATAATCAACACAAGAATCACCCAATTCAAATAACTCACGCTTATACATATACATCTGCAATAAAGGTATACCTCAACGAAAACTTTTCCAAGTATTGGCTCTTTCAACTATGCAACTATCCATCAGATAGAAAAATACTTCCCTCCAGATGTAATACATTTTCGCCAATGACTTTTCCAGTCTGCGAAAGACTCTTCATAAACCCTTCGTGGGATGGCATTCAGCTCCTTCAGTGAATTTTCTCTCTTCTATCGAAATCTCTTCGGTCGAAAACAGACTCCTCGTAGCGGCATTTTCAGAAAATATCACACGGGGCCAATTTGATGAATATTTTGAAAAAATTATGCAGTTTTATAGGGACTTCCAAGAGATTTCGAGCCCTCTTGCCATCTCTTTCGATTTTCAAGTAGCATTTCCTTCGCTTTTTGAATATTTTCATCAGTTGAAGAGGTCGAAGGTCGTCCAGCACGAGGCATGTCTTCAGCGATTGTTCGACCATGTTTGAAGACTTTGTACAATTCATAGGCTTGTGTTTTTGATTACACTGAATCACCGAAAGTCTTTTACAACATTCGCAATGATTCGGCACATTCCAAATGCTCTTTTGTTTTAATCTAAATGGATTATATTAAGACACGTTTTTACTTGTTGATTTTATAATTCAATGAAAAAATCTCATAGTTTTGTAGAAAATTTACCACAAGTATTATATCTTTATTTTTTTCTTAAAGAGTTTCTCATTTTATTATTTTTTAACATAGATTTTTGACAATAGATACGATTGACTTAATCGAAATTTGAATTTTCCGATTTTGAATGATTTTTTTCATTAAGCTACAAAATTCATAACAAACAACAATCTCTTAAAATAACCAAACAATTAAGAGCTCATACTTGAACAGATTTTTGTAGAGGTATCTAGCAGCCCAAATTTCAAAATAACCAGCGCGAATTTGACTTACGGAACCACCCTAATACACTCATCTTCGTCATATGCATCGCTAATGTCAATAAAACTTCTCCCTCCAGCTGAACTTTCTTTGGAATGCCAAGCTTTTACGACTTGATTCTATGCCAAAGAGAATACGCCATTAATACGGTGTATTTTATTACGCCGCGTGTGCGCTTGTGTGTGCGCAACAACAAAATTTTATGTCACTCAATAAAAGCAAAGTATAAATAATGGCAAATCATTTCCGGCACTCAATTTGGACACAAAAACCTAATGGAATCTTCGCCACCAAATTTGATTTGCTCTCGCGTATAATTTACTGCCGAACAACTAAAGTCATAAATGTGACTTTTACTTATCTATATATAATATGTGTATAAGAATAAATTTGTATCTTAAAACACATACTCACATATTCTCTGCCATGTTCACTTAAGCCACATTTTGCTTTCTCTTGTACATTTTAGTGGAGCAAATTGCAAATGACGTGTCAGCAATTGGATTGCATGCAACGACATGCTGAGGGACATGGCGATTTGTGGCACAAGCAAGCCAGCATTCTGAACGAGAGTCATCAAAAGACTGATACAACTGCCGCTGCTGCTGCTGCGGTCTGTCGTGCAGCGAGTACACCAGCAGCAACAACAACGGTAGCAGCTGCAACAACAGACTGCGCACTGGACAGCTTGGTAACGGGCGCCACAATAAATGGCACAACGGTGACGGCACAAATGCTGGCAACACCTACAACACTCAGCACGGAACTCGCCTGTGTGGTTGCCGACGCCGTTGAAGCAGCAGCTGGCACCTGTGTAGTTGGGCTGGGCCAGGCACTTGAGACCGCCGTAGGTGATGGTGTTGCAATGGGAGTTGCAACAGCTAACACTCTGTGTGGCAGTCATATAGGTGAGCTAACAGCACCAGCAACAGCAGCAACAACACTATTAACACCGGAAATGACAGCAAACGCTACATGCAATGGCAAAGGCAATAACGGCAGCAACAATAGCAGCAATGACAGTACGACAAGCAGCAATAGCAGTCGTGCGGTGGGGGCGTGCAGAAAAATAATTAAATCGACAACAGCAACAACAAAAGCGATAGATGTAACGGTAACAACTGGTGCGACAGTGACGAAACCAAACGATTGGGTTGTGATTCCGGTATTTGCGGATATTGTTAAATTGGCATTGGCCGGACGCGAGGAATGCCTGCAGCGGTAAGCCTAAATTTACTCCAACACATTTCCGGTTTTAGCATTGCTCACACAAGTCAAACAACTTGTCGTGCACACGTAATCACAAATCGAAACACACATATACATACACAAACATGCACATACATGCACATACACGTAGGCACTTTACAGCATACACACGTATTTATGCTTATTCCATCACATGTAATATGCCCAGCTTTTACGCCTCCGTTGCAATAATTGTGGTATATCAATCATACGCCCAGTGGCACCGGCAGAGTTATGAGTTTTATTATGGCAGCTTCATGCTTGCACAGGCGAAATGTGTCACGTGGCATGTATAACGAGCCGACAATGTATAATTAGCTGAAATATCTCTGCTAGAAGTGGGTTAAGTTATTGATATGCACAGGTTGCGTATACGCACTGTTGCTCAAAACAGGTTGAAGCTATAATAAGCAAAGGAAATCGATTTTTGTGTCTATTTAAAACAAAAGCACAATTATTTTCTTATATTTGGCTAAAAATGTATTTCTAAAGAATTTTTTGAGAATTCATTTATTTTTTTTAGTTTAAGAAAATTATGTTACGTATACGCCCTACTGCTCATCACAGCTTGAAACGATAATAATTAAAGGAAATTAATTTTATTTTTGAATTTAATACAAAAAGTAAAACCATTTTTATATTTCTTCACATAAATACCGTTTTTAAGAATTTTTTGCGAATAAATTTATTATTTTTAGTTTAAGACATCTATGTTACGTATACGCCATGTTGATCAACACAGCTGGAAGATATAATACATTTAAAGATTATAAATTGGTAATTAATTTGCGCTTGTGATGTGAGAGGCTGTTTCTTTCTTCTTTTACATTGCTCAAACCGAAAGTTATAGACAAAACTTCCAACCACGTAAAATTTTTTGTAACATAGTGTAGAGGTAAAGGAGTCAAGTCAGAAAATGAAAGTTTTCGAACTCAAATTATCAATCAGAACATCTCAAATACCCCACAGACTTCTTAGCACATTAGTCGCAAATTTTTACTTCAGCTTTGTTGAGCAGTGTAATGAAAGAACATTAATTTTTATGTAAGTTGAAAACACAAAAATTGTCAAGACAATACTATTGTTTTACGCATGCATAAATAAAGCCTTCTATAAACTTTATATTTTTCAAAGAAAGTATGTTACGTATACGCCCTGTTGCTCCTCCCTGCTTCATCCGATAATAATCAAAGGAAATTGATTCACAGAAATTTTATTCAGAAAAGTACTCTTATTTTCATATTAATTCAAAAAAATATTTTTTTTTTTAATTTTTAAGAATACATTTATTCTTTTCAGTTTAGGAAAGATATATTACGTATACGCTCTGTTGTTCATAACTTATACATAGGAGATGCGACATGATAAAATATTTAACTTTTGTTATGCACGCAAATATTGTAACATTTTTTGTTTACAAGTCTGAAAATAATGTCTTAAGAATAATACTCGTAATTATATTCTAATCAGGGTATAATAAGTTTGCCAATATGGTTGAAACCTCCAAAAGCAATCCTTGGAAACGCTATAGTGTGTATATATAAATGATCAGCATGATAAGATGAGCCGATGTAGTCATGTCTGTTTATCTGTGCGCCTGAGAATACGCAAACGAGATACTCAGTTTATGAGATATAGGTTCGAAATTTAATAGAAGTCCTTTACTCACTAAGCACCGTTTCGTTTTCTAGAGTTGCGCATATCGGTTTACTATAGTATATAGCTGCCATATAAACTGTACGGTCAGAACCGAGATCTTGTATGGAAAACTTTTTCATTTGACAAGATATTTTAAGAGGATAATTTCCAAGGCAATTGTGCAATTTCCAAAATTGCGATGATCAGATCAGTATAGCGTATAGCAGTCATACAAACTGATCGATCAAGCGAAAGTCCTTGTATGGAAAACTCCTTTATTCTCAAAGTATCTTCAAGAAATTCGGCAGAAAATATAATATTACCCAAAGCATCGTGCTTTTAATACTCGCAATTAACAATAATTATAAAATTAGTGCAAATGGTCATCAAAAGCTATGAAGACAAAAAAAATACCTACAATTTATATTTACTATAACATTAAACCATTTTCTTGGTGATTTAATTTGTTAAACGGCCGACTACAATAATATAAAAATATATATAATCAGCTCATAAGAACACAATAAAAATGTACACGTAACAGTTGGCAGCAATGAAGTGCGAAGCTTTTATGGCGACCAACTACAAAGCAGAAAGGAGTTTTATTATTTTAGTATTCACTAAATTTAAGATAAGTGTGGGAAAAATTGTTGGGAAAAAATTTTCAGGTTTAATTCTTTTTCGAGGCCTAGACACGTGCCGTCTTTTGGTAACGCCATTAAACTCACTCCTCTTGACGTGTTGTTAAAATGCAATAAAATTCGTTTTTATAACCTTTAAATGCAACATCACTGTTGTTACAGCAACGCGCTGACCAGGCTGTCAGTGGTGGCATGTGAAAACAACCACACGCACAGCACGCTTAGCAAACAGTCTGGTGGCGGCCTATGTAAGCAGATCCATACTCTACTTAAATCCAATTTCAAGTGGCCAGCAGGCGTCGGCACCACCAACCATGCCGCCCGCTGTCATTTGAGGCGACCGCATGCGACCCAGCTACGTCACGCATAAATACGTACTTACATTTAAGCGTTGAAGTCAGATATTTACTTTTATTTTCCTTAATATAAACGTATTTTTACAACCTCTTCTGCGCTTCTTTTCACATTACTGTGGATATTTTTTATGGGCATGTGTGTGCGTGCGTGTAAAGTTCACACATAAAGCTATGCAGCAGAACATCTCATCGAGCAGTTCACCAACATCATAGCTAAGAATTATTGTTGCTACGCCGGCAGCTATATCCTGGCGGGCTGGCACACAGACTCCGCTCCGCTTGTAAATCGTTTTGCCTCGTTTTAATATGCCATTGTGTGCGCATATGTGAGTGCGTACATCTCAAGCAAGGCCGCACTTGCACTTCATGCCATTCGCATGCACGCACACACACGCATACCATTACATATATGTATTTGTATATCACTGTGTGCAAAATTTAAATAATCCGCTTGCAATGAGCTCGTGCTGCGGCGATGAGTGTATTAAAAGGAAATTCGTTTAAGACGAACACAAATAAACGTTAGCTCAGCCGGCGGTCAATTTTACTTTACGAGTGCTGACTCGGCCTCAATTGCAATGCTAACAATGACCACTTCCCAATAGGGTGAACTTGAGTTGAGTTCAGTTTGTAGGAATAAGGCAAGGGCAGGGTAAACTTTGCAGAATTAATCCATTTAAAAACGTTAGTAAACTTTGAGAGCGTTATAGGATTTTGCTAAATTATTTGAGAGTAAAGAAGAAGATGCAGAAGAAGAGCTCCAGTGCTGCTTTTGGGAATAATGGCAAAGTTAAATATTAGAAACAAGAATATATTGATTTTAAGAACAACAAATATTTTGTTGTGCTTTAAGACTTAAAGCACAAAGCCGGAGAAAAAGTTGGTGTAACTTTTTTATAAAACTCTTATTCTTCGTTTCCAATGAGGGTTCAATCATTTAAAGTTCGTTGTTTGACGTAAACAACCTTCAAGTCGAATTAAAGTTTCTTAATAAGAAAAAACATATTTTATAAAGATCCTTGTCTAACTTTGATCCTAGATTGTAGCGTCGTTTTCGACAATAATTTATGCGGAAAGACGTGAAGAAATCTTGTCAAATAAAAAAAATTTTCACATACAAATTTTATTTTGATCCTTCAGTTTGTGCAAGTATAGCAGCTATATGCTATTGTGATACGATCTCAAAAATTTCTTAGCAGTTTACATCATTGTTTTAGATAGGAACCTACGCCAAATTTTGTGAAGATATCCCGTCAAATGAAGAAGCTTCCCGTATAATCACTTCATTACGTTCATTCTATTTCTATTGGCAACTATATGATATAGTAATTCGACATCGACGGTTCCAACAAATAATTGTTAAGAAAAAATTACATTTACCAGATTTCATATCGATAACTCAAAAACTGAAGGACTAGTTATGAAGTATACAGAGAGACAGATAAAATGACAGATGAACATGATTAAATAGACGCAGCTCGACATGCTGATCATTAGAGAATCTCCGAAGTTTCCGTCCAGGTATTATAAACAACACCATTCAAGGCATATTAAGCATAATCCATCATAGCCGAAGAGCTGTTCGTCTCCAAGAAAATTAACACATTAAGGATCATACAGACAGAAGCCTCGCTAACTTCGACTGATAACTTGGACCACTACGCTATGGAGCCAACTTCTAGTGGGAACTTCTCAGCGTATGTACTGCCGAGATATATGTGGGTGGAGCGGAGTCGCTGAAGAAACGGCACTATGAACCATTTTCACGGATGGTTCGAAGCTCAAGGGAAAGGCTGTTGATGAAGTCTTGGCATACGACTGTAAGGTCTTTCAAGCGGAAATGACAGGCACTAAGGGAGCAGCTGATAAATTTTTCCGAAGTGCGGTTTTTTTATGGACGTATGTATCCACTCCGATAATAGTACTACTGGCTTGTATAGTAGGACTTAGTAACAAAGCTACTCGAGGAAAGTATGATCTCACAAGTAGTGGGAGTTCCTTATTAAACGGAATCATTGGAAATAGTGGAGCTGATGGGCTTAAATGGAAACCACCCATAGCCAAATTACAACATGAGGGCAGTGACAAGCGTTACAGTATTCAGGCGCTGAATCTAGAGGCTTCGCGTGATCTCAGACTTTAACAAGGCTACAATTAGACCTTGCAGAGTTGAACGTAAAAAATTCAGTGAACTGCTGGCAATAGTAGGTATCCTAATTGACCGCTGTCCGATTGGCACTCTCGCAGTACGGCTATAAATGTTGGAGGATACAAATTGTCACAGCTGCAGAGAAGAAGAAGAGATAGAAATATATTTTTCCTCCAATGTTTCACACTT